TCCAGGTTTAAACCCAGATTCTTCTTGCTGTGATCACAGACAATGATGCTAAAATACTGCCATTACTGCCTGTGTCCAGGGAGTAGAGCTGCAGCAATTATTTAATTAATCAATTAGAGGTAAACTATTTTAATAATTGATTATTCAATAATGAATCATTTTTGTGTAGTTTTTCAAGAAAAAAATTCTACAATTTCAGCTTCTCAAATGTGAATATCTTTCAGGACGTCACCTTTGCTCTTTAGGATCAACAACAACTAATCGATTAATCAAGGAAATTATTGACTCAAATAATCCTTCCAGCTCTACCCAGAAGAAGAGATGTGGGAAAACTTCCCAGCATGCACTGTGTCAAAGGACTTCATGCAATTAGTAATGTGTCTATGCATGGAGGATGATACCTTGATGTCTTTGTGCATTTTACTGCCCCTGGAAAGAAACTCAAGATTAATTAAAAGGAGTTCTTACCTGCTCAGGTAGATTACACACGGTCAGCAGAGACGAGGGCACCTCATTTTTAAAATGGTCCCCCCAAACGGGCTTCAGGTGGAAACGAACAGTCCAGTCCAGTTCCTCCATCTTGTTGTAGAGCCAGAACAGAGCTCTGGACCAGCTGCTGGGGGCTGCCGCCACCTCTGCACCCACCACCTGCCCCAGCATGGTCAGCACGGACAGCAGCAGCTCCTTGGTGTCCATGGACAAGTGGTAGACAGTGCCCTCTGCTGTCTGCTCCCAACACCTGGCAGAGATTTTGATGTGTTGAACGTTACAGTTAAAGTTGTCACTATTATAGAATAATAAGAAAGTATGTGGATCTGGATTGTAGGCCATAAAAACACTCATCATGCAAACCTGAGAGTCTGGCTGTGCAGCTGGGCCAGGATGTAGAGAAGGGGAAAGGGAGAGCAGTCCAACACCCAGTGAGGACATGAGTCTGGCTCCTGGATGTCCACAGACAAAGCGGTGTGGAGAAGTTGCAGACTCAGTTCTATATCAAAGGAGCTGTGACCTGGAGGGAAAACAGAAAGGTATGTTGGAACAAAAGTGACGCCTGTAGGGAGGCTGTGCATCTGCTGGATGTGTAAATACACAACTGTTTACACTGATAATATGTCACTGTTGTATTGTAGGCTGAAAAGACATCTGTAAATACTGCTTTAAGTGTGATGGTGTCTGCCCACAGAATAATCACACTGTAACCTTGGACCAACCTCCAGGACAGCTACAGGCGGTGAGACGTGGTTGAAAGCTCTAGAAAAAGCTAATGAGTGGACTCTGAGTTACAGATTATCTTGTCAAACCAATGCTGATACTTCTGGAGTGAAGCTGATGATAGCCGTCATAACAACATCACAATATCTTATTCATTCTTTACAGAGGAAAATATCAGCATCATACTGGTCTTTCTGTCTGATTAACACTTTTTAAACAGAGACGATTCCTCAACCAACATTTGATCCTGGAAAGACATATATTAGTTTTATAGCATGAATACCACAGGATACTCACCCACAGTGGAGAGGTTAGGCAGGACGAAGTTGTTCACAACCTCCTGAGGTGGCAGAAAGCTTTGCCTCCTTTCTTCTCCCTCAACTGTCATGACTGGCATCATCAGCAGACCCAGACACTTGAGGAACTGCTCCTTCTCATTGGCTGACAATGATTTGGTCTTGATTATCTCCTGCAGACACCTACAGAGTAGACCGCTACCATTCAAAGCATCCTTTCCTTCATCTATACTTTCCTCCTCTTCTTCTTCTTCTTCATCACTTTGAGCTTCTTCTTTTATTTCCTTCTGTCCTCTGAGTCCAGGAAGCTGCTGCAGGATCTTAGCCATAAGAGAGAAAGCACCTTTATTGAAAACGGCTGAATGACAACAAGACCTCAGAGCAGCCTCGGGGTTCTGAAACGCAACTCTCGCGACCAAAGACACTGCTGTGTTCAGATTGCCCTGCGACACTGATGCCGACGCTCCACCTCCTCCTTGGATGATGCAATTGAAGGCCATGTTGAGCTCCTGTTCAAAGCCGTCGGTCACAGCAGAGGGGACGGAACACCCGAAGAACCCCCTGCTGGACAGTCTCAGCATGGCAGCCAACGCTTTGTTCTTGTCTTCTAAGGACAGCGCAGAGAAAATGTCTGTGATGACTTTCATCAGCTTCCTGCACTGGCTCACACTCATGCTCTGGCTGTGGAGTTTACTCATGAGGGTGGAGGTCAGTTTGATGAGCGTGTCACACTGCTGGAAGGCTACCCGGTTCTTTTCCAGGCAGTCCATCCATAGCTCGTCGCAGGCAGCCCAGCTCTTCTCGCCGGCAAATAACACCGCAAAGTTCTGATAGTCATCCAGGCGGTGACTGATGATGATGGAGGTGACCCTCGCAGTCACCTCGGGGGTGCTCTCTATCGCAGGGAAAGCCAGTGACTCCAGTAAACCTCTCAGTATATTCTTCTCAGCCTCTTGATCGGCCATTTCAGTCACTCTCTGTAGAGCTGTGAGGACTCTCTGGACACTTTGTTCTAGTTTGAATGCTGAGTAGCTAGGACTAGTGCTGTCACACGCCTTCAGGAGCCCACTGTTTTGCCAGAACTGAACAAGCTCTGTAATTATCTTCAAGGCTTCTCTAAGCGTCATCCTGCTGGGCTGAAACTGAGATGGTGCGTGAGAAGCAAGTAGATCTCTCTGAGCCTCCCAAATAAGTTCAGGACTCAGTTTCTCTTCATTCTTTTCTCTGATGCTGACAACTTTAGACAGGATGTGCATCTTCTCTTTGGGTGAAAGTACGACTGCTTGTTCTATCAGGAATGATGTGTAAAGAGCATCCAGAGAAATGGAGAGGGCCTGAAGGCCATGGTCCGTTGTAGATATGTGATCTTTTATATCTTTAAGTGCATGAAGGAGAATGTACAGGATGTCTGTGGTTGGTGACGATGCTGGTACATTTAATGGGTCTAGCTTTAACCTCTTTGCAGCCTGGGCGGACAGACTGGAAGATGTGGATGAGAGACGAGCAAATTGTCTAGCGAACTTCGTCTCTATGCTATCCTCTCCTCCCGCTTTCTGCTCATCCCGGCCCTTCCACAGTTCCCACCACACCTCCAGAAAAAGTCGGACATCCTCCTCTCTGGTAGGGCTGCTGCTCACGTGTTGCACCAGCTTTTCAAGCTGAGTACAGATCTGACTTTGAGGAAGACACAAGAGGAAATTGGCAAATGTCTGAGCAGCTGCCATCGACTTCACCACTTCCAGCAGGACAACATGGTTGACCTCAGGGAGGCCGTTCTGGAGGGGGAAGAAAGGGTTCTCCCTCCAGCCCATCTCTACGTCCTCGCCAGTCTCCCTGCACAACAGCTTCAGCCACACAACACAAACTACTTTCTTCGTCCAGCTGTCGGACGCTGTGGTAGGATGATCATGTTGTCCGCAGATTTCTCTGACCGCCTCCAGGACCGGATGTCCCACCCTGCTCCAGTCAGCTTTCTGAATGGACGACAGGGACGAGGGGAGACATAGTTTATCAGCCAGGAGGAAGGCACCCTGAATAACGGCTGAATCTGAAAGCACAAGAGAGCAGACGTCCAAACTAAGCAAAGACAATATTTCATTCATTCAAAGAAACAGTACACAAGTAGAGCAACTAACCATAAGAGGTCAGGAGGAACTGCAACTGAAAGATATTCTTATCAATTCATTTGGCTAATGGTTTCATCTATAAAATGTCATATAATGGTGTTAAATGTCCATTCTAATTCCCCAGAGCCGGATATTTAATGTACTATCATATATGACAAATGTAGTAGTAATTATATAATCCTGAAATAAGAACAGGAATTAAAGCGTCCTCTGATATATGAAGTTGAAATCAGAGGGAGTTTTAATAGCCCAGTATAGTTTCTGTCAATCCACTAACCGATCAATAAACCCATCTTCATTGGTTTATTAGAGTATCAGAATTTAATAAATAAGAATTTTAAAAAAATCTGGTTTCAAGTTGTTTTATAATCTGTCAAGATGTTTGGTTTTGTTTTTCTTGCAGTTGCATTTTTTTTCCCACCACAAATGAATGCTGGAGCCCGACAGAGAGCAGTGTGTGTGTGTGTGTGTGTGTGTGTGTGTGTGTGTGTGTGTGGTGTGTGTGTCAACTACTGGAGGAAGTAAAGCTTCACCAACTGTTCCAAACTCAACGCAGTGTCATAGACTGACATACCGATAATTAAAGATAACTTTAAATTACTGTAGCGTCCCATGTCCCATGTAAGAAAGTGTCAGAGACAGAAAGTGTGAGAGACAGAAAGTGTGAGAGACAGAGAGTGTCAGAGACAGAAAGTGTGAGAGACAGAGAGTGTCCATTACCTTTGTTCATCGTCAGTCAGAGCTGCTGCTGTGTATAACGTTAGCTAAACGCAGTGAGCTAGTTAACTTAGCTCACTGCTTTCAGTCCGGTGGTTAACTCCCATTCAAGAGCTGTTCCGCCCCAAACAGTCTCTCCAGTCCTCTAAAGCCTAAATATTCCACAATAAACGGAACGTGGCCTGTCAAACAGATAAAGTCCGACGACAGCTCAGCTGCATGCTCACAATTTCATATGGAGCGCTTCCGCTGTTCCGTGTCAGCGTGTCCAACCACAAGAGGGACCCGCTGCTCTCTGTTCCGTCTACACAGCGCCACCACAGGGCGGAGTGAGTACTGCAGGGTGGACGGCGTAAAAACGAAGCCGCCTTTAGGTTCACTCCGTCATGAACAGTCGCTAAATGTCTGCAGCTGCGAATGGAAAGTTTTGTCTTTCCTGGTTTTATGAGGAACATAAAGTGTATACACATACACTAGTGTACACTGAACATGTTGCATAGAAATAACTAATTTAACAGTATCTATAACACTCGTTGTATCTTTTACAATTTCGTAACATATAGGCTATTGTACAGCCTATATTTAAAATGTTTTGTCAGTGATACACCATCTGCCTAACACGTGATGCGCGCGAGGGGCAGGCCAAGCAAGTTTTTTTTCTCTTAAAATGAAAGTGAAAGTAAACCTGCAACTGAACAACTCGGTGTGGGTCTCCAGCTGCGAGGAGATATTTGTACCGATAAATCACCATGGGTCTGATCCTAAAGATACTCATTTACTCGTACCTGTGTGCAGGTGAGTTACTGTCTGCAGCTGTGTTACTCACGGTGGAGGTTTTGTCGGGTTCTGTGTCGGATTGAATTAACTCATAAGACGTGAATGAAATGGCCACCACTTTACTGTAATGTACTACTGCGATATACTTTAGTATACTACACTATTCTATGTGCTGTAATATACTACACTGTAATATTCCATACTAGACTATACATTACAGTATACTGTGATATACTGTACTATACTACAGTATTACTATAAATACTGTACTGTACTGAGCTGTACTATACTACACTGTAACATAGGCCTACTATACTGCAGTATGCTATTTACTACACTGTATTACATTATACTATACTGTACTATACTAAAGTATTACTGTACTATAATATACTACACTACACTGTGCTGTAATATGTAATACTATAATGCACTGTAACTGTACTTTACTACAGTATACCATGCTATATGTTAGCTGACTGTGTTGTTTGATGCTGTGTGTCTCAGGTGTGCAGTGTGTCCATCAGATGCCATGGCTGCCCTGTAAGTTCACTGATGAACATGTGTTTTCCAATAAAGAGGGTCACATTGAGACTGAGCTCATCCACAGAGAGGCCATGCTGCAGTTTGGTCAAAAAGGAGACGCTCCTGTTAACCCACAAGCCATTACTTTCCTAGTCACCGGTAAGACCTGTCGCCTGGAGGAGTAACAGACTGAACGCTGTTGTATCCTATGGTGTTCTATTGTATTCTGCTCTGTTCTAGGATCTAAGGTGGACCTGCGGCGGTACGTAGAGGGAGTGGAAGCAGAGCATCTGGAGTGTGAGCTGCGCAGGTACAGTACAGAAGGCATTCATGTCCGCTGGCCGGTCCAGGGGCCCAGTGAGTACAACCGCTGGTTCAGCTGCACCCTCAAACACAGCAAGGGCCTGTCCACTGTCATCGGGTTCCTCAGACACCCATCTGACCAACCCCCTTCAGGGAAGCAGGACTACCGGAGCTGGCCTGCTATCGCGGACAGAGAGATACTCACCACATCAGGTAACTCTCACCACAGTCTGTATTAATATCAGTCCCATATCTGAGTTTAATCCCAGTCTGTGTTCATGTCTAAGAACTAAAATGTATCTCTGTCTTGCCACTGTTTCTATAGTTGTCATGGTCATGAAAACACAATCTCCATCGGTGAAAGCAGCCCTGGGGTCCCAACAAAAGCTCCACTGCCAGTTTGCTATTGACCACAAAGGGCCCAACATGACTGTGGAGTGGTACTGGCAGCATCGTGGAGAGAGAAACAGACTCTTCAGCCATACCAGCCGGTCAGGGCAGACCCACGGGACCGGCGTTGGGCTGAAGAGCCTCGCTGGCGGAGACGCTTCCTATACCGTCCCCTTCACCAAGATGAGCAGTGAAGGGACGTACATTTGTTCGGTGTCAGTGATGCCTTTGTTCTCCAGTCTGGACATAACTCTGCATATCGAAGGTGAGGAAGTGCCAGAGAGAGGATAGTAGTATTAAATGTCAGTGCTTGTTTTAACAGGAGTCTCCAGAATCACTGGCCCAGCCAGGAAATAGTCTGTTACACAACCCTTAAACCACAACTTGTCATTTTCACACTTTGTTTTTTTGTACAAATACAAGATATAACGTGGGGCAGATGTTGCCATCTTGTGACAGAGCCAGGCTGGCTGTTCCTCTCGTTACTTTGTGCTAAGCTAAGCCAAACAGTCTCCAGCTTTATATTGAACATACGGACATAAGAGTGCTATCAGTCTTCTCATCTACCTCTAGAGGCAAGACTGAATAAGTGTTTTTCCTAAAACTATTCCCTTAATAGTGTTTAGCTGTAGTTCAATCAACATTTAAAAAGACAAAGACAAATTTGCTGCTTCATCGAGGCCACACTCCTTGACTGCTTTCCACTGGTATGCAGAATTAATTCAAAAACATATAATACTATTAAAATACTGCTAAATTCGGAGTGAAAATACTATGAAATGGGCAAAATGTAATTTAAAACAGTAGTCTTTCCTGTAATATTTTGTTTCAATATCAGCCTGCTATGTAGCTGCACACAGCACCTGCTTATATCCATGATTAGTTAGGAGCTAAACTGTGATGACAAGATGTGATACTAATTGCTCTAAATAATGTCAGAAAGTGTGTGACCAGCAGACAACAGAAGTGACTCTCTCTGTTATAAAGATCACTGATGTTGGCAGCTGGAGTCAAACTCATGAAAGTTTTGCTGTCTCCTCAGAGGCTCCCCGTGTCTCCCTCAACATTGGACCCACTCTCTCGCTGCAGGAGGGCGGAGAGCAGAAGGTTGTCTGTGATGTGGAGAGTTACTACCCTCTGGATGTGGACATAGTTTGGTATGAGCAGGACCCAGCGTTAGCAGGCCAGAGGGTGGGCGCTCCACTCCCCAAGGTGCTCGATAACATCCTGTTGTCCAGCCACAGACACAACCAGGACAAGACCTACTCGCTGTCGGCTTTCTTCTACCTCCAGGCTTCGCTCAGGGACTCAGGCAAACAGTTTACATGCAGCGTCTCCCATAAGTCACTAAGAGTGCCCATCAAGAAGAGCTTCATCCTCACTGTTGAAGGTGAGAAAAGGCCACACTTTTCGCACTGCAGTATTACAAGCTACCACACAGTGGCAGCAGAGGAACACATCTGACACCTACTGTAACCTCACACTTGTTGTCTGTTTTCTCTCCTTAGAGCCGAGCAGCTGGATGTTCACCCTCACTGTTGGCATCATTGTGCTCGTGCTGCTGGTCATCCTGTATGTGATGCTGTCCTTCCTGCACCAAGGTGAGTGTGGAGACCCTCACAGAGACAGGCTGATAAACGTATGTGTGAACATGAGGATCCTGGAGTGTGAGGAGTCCTAGCTTCTGTCATGATGGGTGGAGGTAGAGTTGGTCATCAAGTAATAGGAAGGTTGGCGGTTCAATCCCTGACTCCTCCTTCTGCATGTCAAAGTGTCCTTGATACTGCCAAAAAAAGCCTCTCAAATTGGTGATGTGTGAGTGGGATTAGTTTCTGCTTCTGGTGAGCAGCTGGCACTGCCATCACTGTGTGAATGGGTAAATGTGAGAAGTGGTGTATAAAGTGTAAAATGGTTTGAGTGCTAGAAAGACTAGAAAGGCATTCTTTAAGTGCTGTCCATTTTGATTTAAACACGGTACCTTGAAAGGGAGATTAAAGAATGTACAAGAAGGGTTCATTAGAGGTATCACTCTCAGTACAACAATGGCGTAACATGCAGTGCAGACAAAATAACAGACAATGCAAATCAATGTTCATTATTTCCCTTTGACATATAAAGTGTTGATTGATTGTTATCATTTATTCTCTCCACAGCAAGAAAACAGTCAGTGCAGGTAAGATTGTATGAACTGTTGTTCTTTATCTTTTGATTTAACAATCACCATCAATGGAAACCAATATTTAATCTCTCTGTCTGCATATGTGTGTGTGTGTGTGTGTGTGTGTGTGTGTGTGTGTGTCTGAGCAGAAGAAACCATACTGAGCAGCCTTGGAAGCAGAGCAGATCAGCTGAAAGCACCAGTGAAGAGTCTCACTCCATCTCCCTTGCTCATTTTTTATTTTAGAATGTCTCAGATGTTTGATTTCGGTTCGGGGTTTATTTACAATGAATTTGGGTTTCTGTGAAACTGAATGTGGCTTCCATTTTGCTTTGATTTTGCTCAGGCTAAAAACTTGATGTTGAAGTAAATGATTGGTCTCCTAGGCCAGTGGTTCTCGACCCAGGGACCGGGGACACCAATGGGTCCTTGAAGGTGTTTCAGGAGGACCCCAGAAAAACAGGGAATATTTTAATTTCACTATTATTTCACTGACTAGAGGTTAGCGCAGGGTAAAGCAACCTGTGGCTCTATAGGCCCCTCTGCAGTGGCTCCGTGTGGGCCTAAAGTGATTTTTACCAAGTTGTAATTTATCCATTATACACAGAATTTTAGAAAATGTTTTAACGTTTCATGAATAATTTATGCATCAAACGTTACGTGACCTGACCTATTTTTATAAACCTCAATAGCGGTGGCTACTCTTCTCTCTTGCTAGGTTAGCTATGAATTCCAAATCCAAAAAAGAAAAGAAAGAATTTAATAGTGCATGGACAGTTTAGTTTGCTGCTGGCTTACTGATCTGCGGCAAGAAATTAGAATTATAAGGCTCTAATATGTTTTTTAAAATGTTTTATTATAAAATGTCTGCAGCCCAATGAGTGTATAAGAATGACTGTTTATAGGTTTCACACTCTTCAACTGGCCAATGTACAGTAGAGACAGTTATAGAAGAACTAAGTCTTATCAGACGGAGGTGTGTGAGACTATATCTTATCAACATTTTAATGAGGAAGCGAATATATTCAACACATTTGTTTGACCTCAAGGACACAAACAGTGTGTTTTAGTGAGAAACACTGAATGTAACAAGAATTGTTGTTTATTTATAAGAAAACTCCACAGGTTGTCTTTAATGAAATGTAGCTGCAGCGAGCCTTTAATGTGAGACAAACAGCTGGTTTATTGTTCAACAATGTAATAATAAGGTTAATAACCATAACCACTGAAGTATAATACACCCACCAGCTATTGAATGAATGGGTTAAAATTCATATTTAAATAATTAACTTTGGTACCTTTTATTGTTATTATTATCTTGCAATGATTTGAAAACATATTATATTGTCGGTTGCTACATCATTTTTGCCAACATGATTGAACATTAAAGGTTCTTGGAGTAAGAAATTGTCTGAAATGTCCTTTCCTCCAGTTTTCATTTCTCAGGAGATCTGGGCCATTATCTGTCCAACTGCCGAGTGAAAATCTGTGAAAAGCTACAATTAAAAATCTGTCACTTTTACTTCTACTGAATGGTGAAAGCTTTCAATAGACGTTCACTGACAGACATGTTTTGGAATACGCAGAACATTTCTGATGCAATTTGAATAATTTGGGGGAATATTTGCAGTTGCTGCTTCCTTGTAAGCTGTAATGTCCAAACACACTTTCACTGCACCATATTTATATTTATTCAAACCTCGGTTGTAAAAACAAAAAGAGAACAGATAGCTGCCACACTGCCCATATATCTTTATTGTCTGAACTTCCTGTCGTGGTTCTAAATTACCCTAATTTTCTGTTTTCTCTGACATACCTATTTCTAAAAGTACCAGAATTTCTTCCATAGTTTTCAAGTTTTTTTTATTTTTCCCATATTTATATATTAATTTAATGTGTCAATTGATACTGGAGGTAATAAATCGTTCATAAAAACATAAAAACTATAAATAAATTGCACAATACTAAATCACTGAGAAAACAGATGTTTTAAAAGAACAAACAGTGAGGGTAAAGAAAGACTAATTCTTTTGTCTGATTGGGTCTTGATAAATGTATTTAATGTATATTCACTTGAAGCAAAGAACTTTCTTAATTCTGAATCAGCCCTTTAAAGCATTCTTAAGTCTAATGCTTGGGACTTCGATAAATATAGGCCTTAAAACACAGACCACAATGGCCTAATGAGTTCTCTTTCTGTTGCTTCCTGTCAATCCCACACTCAGCTCTGCATACACACACAAGTAAAATCAAAGCTTCTTGTAAAACTTCCAGATGAACTCTAGAAATGCTCTGCTTTTGTATTACATACTCTCTCTGTGCTCTCTCATTAGAAACACACACGCACAAAAGCCATTCTTGTAAAACATACTGAATCTCACTGCTCGTATATGTCAGCCGTCAGCTTTGAAGAGCAGTGATAAAGAGGAACTTAAAGATGGAGTCCATACAGAGGACACCTAGACTGGTCAGTCAGGTCTGAGTCCATTTACTGGGATAAACAGAGCCTTGCTTAGACTGATACCAGATGTGTGTTTGTATGTGTGCTGCCAGCAGCCTGTGTCCTAAGGGGGAAGTGTGTGTGTGTAAGTGCGTGCATTCTTGTGTGTACGTGTATGTGTGTGTGTGTGGCCTAGGTTTGATTTGCATTATATATGTCTGGGAGGTACAGAGGACATAAAGGAGAGTACAGTGAGGAAAAAGGAGAAAGAAAAGACAACATATTTGACTTTGGATGTTTTTTAAATAAACGTCCTGACAAAACAGAAGAGAAAAGAACAAAAAGGCGGCCCTTAAAGTTCAGATGCACCTTAAGCCTAGGGGATGTCCCAATCGAGTTTTTTGGGCCTTAAGTACTGGGTCCGCTCCAATACCTCTATATACCTACACATTGATTAAATATGTATCTGCCACACTGAAACAACATCTGTAGCCTTCTAAACTCGGCACACCTTATTTTTCATGAGCTACTTGATCCAAATACTGAATGTCCTGATTCAAAACTATAAAGCTGATAAGCTATAATTAAAGCCAGTGCTTTTCAAATGTTTTGTGCCCTAGGCACACTAAAAGGCAGGCCAGAATCTCAAGTCACACCTGTATTCATATCTGTGCAAAATAGCCTCTATAACACGTGTTATCACTTTTATCCCTCAAACATTTTTATTTACTAATGCCAAATAGAATTAGACACACTATTACTCATAATACATCTATAAAAGGTCCAGTGTGTATGATTTAGTGGCATCTAATGGTGTAGTTGCAGAAACTATGGTGGATGCGAAAGGCATAAACCCCTATCCAGAGCCAGTGTTTGGTTTGTATATTCAGGTGATTATACACTAATGAAAACATACCTATGAATATTATATTCCATTTCTGCCAATAGAGTCTTCTAAATGTTACACACTGGACCTTTAACTATATAATTTAAAACTTTATTTTAAAAGTGGTGATATAGCAAATTAAAAATGAACTCATGACTTCTTGTAGTTTTATATTGTAATATTAATAAATAGTCGTAGAAAATCCCACATCACACCATTTGGCAACCACTGATTTAAAGTTATCATGATATGACTTTAAGTTTCCGAATGCGACTCCTGGCTACCTGCTAGAGAGAAGACGAGGGACTACAAAAACAATCAGGATTGTTTGACATTTGAAGTGCTACAACACCAGCTGGCTGAGGCGGACAACATAAACTAAACAGTACAGAAGGGATCAGATTTTGTTCAGCCGCTGATCCATTAAAATATGCCCTGGATCATCCCTGATACCAGGACATCACTGCAAAGACACATTCAAACAATCAAAATCAACAGAGCTGGTTGTGTGAACAGATACTGCCAACAATACAATTTTGTTCTGAGCTTGAAGTTGGCCATTATCAGTGCTGTAGTATATCTCAAAGTTTAAAATTAAACAATTTTACCATAAAGTCTATTGCTGCACTGGAATCAATCAAATGAAACTATTAAAACAGTGGCCACAACCTTAGACGCAGTCAAAAGCAGAAAGTGCATGTTATATTCACTACCACAAATGGCCTTCGGATGCCACTCTATTCATAAAGGCCTTGGCTTTTCTCTCAGAATACCGAATAAAAATGCATCAACACATTTCTCCCGCAAGATATGTGTCTCTCCGAAGTTAACTTCCCTTCTTTCTAAGAGTCATAGTCGTAGTAAAGCAGAATGAATAGATCTTTGGCCACTTGGTGGTGGCACTACAAGCAGTAAACACAACATTGACATATTCTCAGTCATACAGTGGATTGTTGCGTCCAGCACACACAGTGAACCTAAACAAACCATTTTCCATAAAAGTAAACAGTATCAGTGTTTATTGCAGCCAATGGAGCTGCCCCCTGCTGACCATTACACAGAATGCAGGTTTAAGACACTAATTTGTTGACTTCACTTCCCAAACATCGTTCCACTATTTATACTGTCAATGGTTCATCCCTACAAGTGACCCCTTTAACATTACAAGTATTCAGTTGATTCATTGTTATTATGAAAATATAGATTAGTTCAGCTTTAAGAAAATATTAAAATTGAAACAGAACTATATTCATCCAGACTTCCTCCTGTTTCATTCAAGTTAACCAACAAAAAAGTAACTAAAGATGACAAAGTGAGCAAACCAAACCCAAGCTTTAAGCCTGCTTCAGAAACTTATGGGTGACATGACACATTATCATCATTACATGATTACGCAATCTTCTTGACAATGGTGTCTCTATTATATAGTAACTGTACTAAAGTCTCAGATTAACACCACACAAAGTGATTTGATGGTTGAACAGTCAGAGCCTCTTTTGTCACTGTGTTGCATTGCACAACATCTAAATATGACACATTATCCCTGAGAAAAAGACTATACAAAAACCTGCTTTTCACATTTATCCAAAATGGCACACAAAGACGAATGGAGTTACACATTTAAATAATATGCTGTTATTCAATAAGAATACTTCAGAAGACTGAATTGTGCTACACAGATCATGTCGCTTCCTGTGATGTACACGACACTGGAGAGGTTTTTCCATACTGACAATACTGAAATATAGTGTAATTTAGAAATAATGAAAACAAGCAGAAATGTTGGCTGTGGCAGCTTCAGTGGAAAGAAACACTGATATCAGTCCTCTGTGGGGCTGGTTGGTCCTGACGGCTGAACAGAGGTTTACAGTTACAGCGTAAAGCTCTGCTGGGAAAACTTCACTTCACCAAGCAAAGAAATAGATCATGCTGGTCAAGTAGGTCGACGCCAGGGTGAAACAACAACTGTTGGTTGGAAACATTTGAGCATGACAGTTGGGACATTACATGTTTCATCAGTTCGGTATGATTACAGTTACTTTCTCCAGTCACAGATCTTAAGACGATAAGCCGGTTTGTAAGACAGGAGGCAAGCCGGGGCCAGTGCTGGAGGATGTTTGATACAGTGAAACACACACACTCTGATCCCTGGATGTTGTAACTGTACAGAGAACAATTAGCTCAGCATATTGCAGGAGGCTGTAGATGATTTAATGCTGCTATCCTGCTTGCTGTTTGACTGCGGGATTCTTATCAATGATCTTTTGTCCCCAGGTGTGCTGTTACAGATAACCTGGTAAGTGAGGACGTGTCTGAGTGTTCTGGATAAATAAAGAACCACAAGTCTTTTTTATGATTTAACTATGACATTTATATTTGACCGAATCTAAATATCTCTCCGGTTATAGTTCCTGTGTTCAAAAGTACCTTCACCAACCTCTGTACTACGCAGGATGAAAAGTTACATGAATAAATATTGAAAGATCAGTGTTACATCTTTTTAGAAGGACCTCCTGTCGTAAAAGTACAACCTTAAAAATATGGTGCACCATGACACATTGTGTTTTTGGATTTTTATATTTTAAATAAGCTCTATAGCAAAGCTCCAAATTCACAAGTGGGGTATTTACTGATGTATTTTATGTCGTTAAACAAATGTTGAAACACGTATTAAGCTTGTGTTAATCACAGACCCTATTTCAGGTATCTAACCAAAATAAACACTGACTTTGAGGCGAGGGAACCGGAGGGACAAAAATGCAAACTCATTTACAGGTTTTTGGACTGCATCACTCTTTTTGATGCTATATTAGCGATGATTTGAGCTAAATGCTTATGTCAGCATGCCTGGTTCTTCTTCTCCCTCTGTACCAGCTTGGACCACATGTTTATTCCTATTGGCCGGTGTGTCAGTTAGTGGATAGTTTATTAAGGGTGGCTGTGTCACAGTGTGTGTCTAGACTGACCTTCTGATCCCGCTATGTCCCAGCAATAAACTGGTAACTTAAACTCAGTGGAAATTTCATGTCAAGAGCAATGAAGGTCCTATTAGTGTGTGTGTGTGTGTGTGTGTGTGTGTGT